TAACAAAATGTTTAAAAAAATTTAAAAATATAAAAAAGAGTGAAAAATGGCAAGTGGCGGCGAAAGACGGTGGTGGAAAGTGGTGACGGTGGGTGGTGGGTGACGGTGGCGGTTAGTGGGTTGTAGCGAGTGGGTGGTGGATGGCAGGTGGTGGTGGGTGATGGCAGGTACGTGGTGGTAGCGGGTAGGTGGCAGGTAGTGGTAGTGGTAGTGGTAGTGGTAGTGGGTGAGTGGGTGACGGTGGCGGGTGGGGGGTGGGGGGTGGGGGCAGGAGGTGGGTGGGGGTAGTGGGGGTGGGGGGTGGGGGCGAAAGACGATAGTGGAAAATGGTGGCGGGTGGTGGCTAGTGTTGGGTGGTAAAAAAAAAAAAAATTGAAAACTCAAAATGGAAACACATTTTTTGTTTTTTCATTTTTTGGCCAAATTTATAAACTGATACCACTGATTTATAAATCAAAAATTTTACCAAACAAGTTTTTATTTGAGTTTTTAAAATTTTTATAAATATAAACAGAAAATTGAAAACGTAAGTATTATCAAACGGCAAGTATGTACCCAACTTACCTTCCATAAATCCATTTAGTCCTCGTTTGGGAAGTTGGTTGAGACTAAAAAAAGCATAAAAAGATAAAATAGATTAAAATAAGCCAATAAGATAGTAAATTCTTTTGAAAAGTGGATTAGTAGTCAAAAGTCAACTTTTAACTCATTTTTGGTCACATCATTTCTCACATTTTTTATATATTTTTTTAAAAAAAGTTGAAAGGCTAGTTTTTAACTATCTTCTCAAAAAAATAAAAAATGTCACATTCAAACTATAATTATTTTATTTTTTCTCTTACAAAAAAGTAAAAAAATAAAAAAAATCAATTCCCCCCCCCTCAAATATAAATTAGCCAAAAAGTCAAAAAATTCTTCCCAAACGAACCCTTAATAGGGACTAAAATAATGGAGAATTTGGTCAAAACTTCATCATAATAAAATTTTAATGCATTAAGGACACGGTGGTGTTACATGCTCCAATTAGTGTACTAACTAGTGTAACAATATTAGTTATGATATTATTATTGATCCTACTCATTGTACAAATTACAAATATCAAAAATATTTTAAATTATGCCACATCATTAATTAGTAAACTAATTAATACACTAGTTGGGGCATATATCATTATTCTTAAGGACAAACATAAACAAAATGACTAATGCTATATGCACCAATCAGTGCACAAATTAGTGTACCAATTGATGATGTAGCATAATTTAAGAGGTTTTTAGTATTTGTAATTTGTATAATAAGTGAGATCAACAATAATTTCATAACTAGTGTTAGTATACTAATTAGTACATGTAGCACCACTCAAATTTTTTTTTTGAAAATTCCAACACATACCATTATTATCAAAATATTAAACCTTCAAATAATATAACTTTTGATGTAGATGTTGGTTTTTAATAAAATTACTATTTTTAGAATTCTCTCATCAAAATCTATCAAACAAGATCTATGTTGCCTATGAAATTCTTTAAAAAAAAAAGAATTATTGTTACCGTCTAAATTGATCTAAACAGTAACAGTAACATGTTATCCTATTTGACAGTAACTCTGTTTGACAGTAATATGTTACTCTAACAATATTATCTAAGAAAATATATATATATATATATATATATATTTTACTTTATTCATATATTACTTTGTTTTTGCTCAATTATGTGTTTTCTCCCTAAAGAGTTTATGAAACAAAATAAATTAGATTGTCATTTTATCAAATAGAGGTCCAATAAAGGGATTTTGGCTACATTTTCCTAAAATAAACATATTTTTAGGTAGTAAATACAAAAAAGTATGGAAACATAGAAATTAAGAACAGAATTAGACACAAATATATTGACCAACATGTTTTCGCAACAGTAGACACCACATACAAATCATATAAAATCATATTCATTCATATATATATATTTTTTGTCTCATTTTGTATTTAATTTTTGTGTTCTAAAATTTATTTCTCACAAATATGCAAATTGTTTAAGATGGACAGATCTGGGGAGTAAACTTTTAGTTTCAGACCATGAAAGTACTAAGAACAAAATCTCTCTCTCTCTCTCTCTCCTTTAGCTTTTGAGTTAGTCCCATGAAACAGTAGAAAGATAGGCAGAAAGAAAAAGGGAATATGTAGCTCATATTAACAATCATTTTAATGAGAACAAACTTCAGATTTAAATTCCCAAGCAGATCACTCTTTTGCCCTCTTTTGGTACCTCCTCTTTGCTTGCAGATTTCAACTAACCAATGCCTCTTCTCTCAAGTTTTCTTATATTCCATTCTCTCTCTTCCTTCCATCTTCAAACCAAGAAAGCTCTGATTCTTCAACCTTTATACATATATATACACTAAATTTGGAGGGAATGAAACTAACTTCATCTTTGAAGCAAACACACAATTCTCTCTCTCTCTCTCTCTTGATTGAGAAATTTCCTATTTTCTATTGTCATTATAGATAGCTAAGAAAATACAGAAATGGATCGTAGAATAGCTAGCAGAGAGATGGGTGGTGCTAGAGTTCTTCAGCGTTTTGCATTCTTCTTGTATTTTTTTCTTAATTCTGGTAATTTTACTTATTCTTAATTAAGCTTACTTAATTGTTCCTCAAATTCAAATATTCAAGATTCACATTTTCTATTATGAAATCTCTTCATTGTTGCATTTCTTAATATCGATCTAGTTAGGATTTGCTTAGTTCAACATACAAAGGTATATATTAAGATTGGTAATGAATTTGATATAATGAAGTTAGTCATATACTAAACTTTGAATGGGATAACGAGAGTATTTTGGACTTTTATCGTAGCTAATCTCTATATACATGCAATCTCCCATCTTATACACATCATATAATTACCGAGTTCAAATCTTAGGGGCCATAGCATTTCATGAAATTTAAACTCTAATTTACTTGAAATGCTTATCACAACTCAACTTGTCACTCGGTTAACTCTTAATGTTGAAATTTGAAAAACTTCATTGATTGCTTAGGAGAAATATCCACGAAGAAAAAAATAGATAATCTTGACATGATTATGAAAAACAGATCAAAACACGAAATCCTTATGGAAAATTTTCATTTGATTCACACTTTCAATTGAACTCATTTCATGTGTTGCATATTTTGCTTGAGTTATGATTCCTTGATGCTTTGTCGAATGAAAGCAATCTAAATACACATAATTAAAATAAATAAATAAATAAAAACACAAAATATAAAAAATATACATGGTAGCGTAATATATCCTAGTTCTAAGAGCATCTCCAACCCACTAGGCATATCATGCTTGTTAGTCAAAATGCCTAGTATAACTCATTTTTTTCAACTCCAATGCACTAGGCATATGATTAGGCATTTTAGCTCAACTCACATTCACTAGCTACATGTAGCTAGCCTTCAAGACTAGGCAAAATATATTTAACCATTAGGATCATTTCCCTCCATCTTTGTTGCTGATGTGGCATTTTATAAAATTAATAGTATTTAGATGAATAGCTAAAATAAAGAGCATGGTTGGAGTAGAAACATGAAATAGCTGATAGGCAAAATAAAATATATACTTTATAGTAATATTTAGATAGGTAAAATGCCTATTACCGTTGGAGATGCTCTAATAAAATAATGAGGATATCTTTAGCGAGCCCAACATGCTAGTGCGTGTGTATGTTCTTAATATTTTTTTTTTGTAATTTAATTCTGTGTATTTGACTTAACTCTTTTTTAATCCTATACTTTTCTCTGTGATGCTAAACGACAATATTTTAAATCTAGAAAGTGATATTTGCAAAACATATCTGACATTAGCATATGATAATATATGGAATCAAATCAAAACAAACTTTGCATGTAAAGAAAGGAAAGAATAACTTACCTCCGAATTTTTTTTTTGGTTTCTTCAGATTCAAGCATTGCAGAGAAACCTCCTCTTGAAGCAATCCGGCAAATCCGAAAGCTTGACAGTGAAGAAATCCCAGTAATCTTCCCACCTTCAATATCAGATACCCAACTGGACACTATTCCCATTGTCAACCCAACTCCTCCATACACGGCGACTCCGATTATAATGCCGCCAGGCCCACCACCACCAACCACCACGGAACCAACCACTCCGATCACAACTCCAACCATCCCAACTCCGGCGACCACCGCCCCCGCAACGTCTGGAGGGGCTTGGTGTGTTGCAAGCCCAACCGCATCACAAACTGCTTTGCAGGTGGCTCTTGATTATGCTTGTGGCTATGGAGGTGCAGATTGCTCACCGATTCAGAACGGGGCAAGTTGTTATAATCCAAACACGCTCCGTGATCATGCTTCGTATGCGTTCAATGATTACTATCAGAAGAACCCAGCTCCGACTAGCTGCAGTTTCGGAGGAACAGCACAGCTCACCTACACTGATCCAAGTAAGATATGCATTCACAAAATTACAATAAAATATTTTCACTGTTTGTTTTTGTTTTTGTTTTTCTGCAATTTTTTGATTTTTTAGTATGACGGAAAATAAAAGTTAAGAAAAATCTGTTTTCTGTAATCAACAGAAAATGAAATTATTTTCGTGAATATGTTTTTTACATTTTAAAAAGCAAAAGACGTTTTTTGAAATTAACAAGGCAAACCATAGTACTATAATTGTCACCATCATCATCAACCCCGTTTGGTATACTTGTTAAAATAGATTATAGATTATAACTTAATAGATTATAGATTGTAATTTTAATTAGAAGTTGTTAATTTATTTGATGTAACTGTTGGATTATAGATTTAAGTTGCTGAGTAGTGTTTGTTAAATAAGCTGTGAAGTAGCATTTTCAATTAACTTTTATTTTTTATTATTCACTACTTGGCTACATTTTTCATAAAAAAAAATAATTTATAGCCCATTTGAGTTTTTTTCTATTTTTAAAAAAATAAAAAATAAAAAAAATCTAACAGTATAATCGTAGATTAACATGTCCATAACAGAATCTAATAATAATCAGAAGCAAAAGGTGAACAGCTTTTCAGAATCAATTTTTTTGAGTTAAAATAAATTATTAGAATCAAAAGTTATTTGAAATAAGTTTAATCAAATAATCTAAAATAAATTTTCAAAAACAAACACCCCCATCCTACCACCGTGGTCCCTGTCCCCTGCCACCGCCACCATCATCATCACAATATTACCACCACTGCCACAACACCACTACTAGCACCATTATTTTTCAGATCACAACCAAACATATGAAAACCTTTTTTGCGAAAGAAGTTTTCCGCAAAATTTCTGCCAAAAAAAACATTTTTCACGGAAAAATGATTTCCATCAAAACAAACAAAGCTGATTGAAGGACACCAATTTACTGATTGATAAACTATCATTGTTAGTTACACACCAAAATTTTATTTTTATTTATTTATTTTGCTATAAATAGCATGCCTTAAAATTTGTTCAAAGAAATGTAGGATGAAAAAATAAAATAAATTCCAAATTCAAATTAACTACATTGGTTAACTTTTAAAAATTTCCCTTGGCACTATTGCAGGTTCTGGAAACTGTCATTATTCATCGCCTAAGACATTGACATCAACACCGATGACACCAACACCGACAATACCAACACCGACAATATCGACTTTCACACCACCACCACCCAGGTTTACTTCTACAGACCACTTCTAATTTCAGTTTTCCAGTCAAAAGTAAGGTAACTGATGAAGTAACCCATGTTTGCAATTACAGCATCAATACTCCGGTGAATCCTTACAACACCCCAAGTGTACCAACAATTTACGGTTCTGAACCGACATCATCCCCCAACTCAGCAGATTCAGTGTCACACAATGTACTGCTGCTCTCCACCGCCACTTTTTTCTCACTTCTCGCAGCAAACTATCTCTAGACAGCTGAGAACGAAATCCAATTATTCTCTCTCCACAATGAGATGGTGATTCATTCAGTTCCCTGGACGCTCTCTATACAGAGTTTTAAGGGGGCGGTGGAAATTAAATCCAAGATATAAATCTCAAAGCCGCCTTTTTTCCATCATAAGATCATAGCTATACTTCATCTACTTATGCATTGTAGTTCAACTAAAAAGACCAGAGAGAATGAAGAAGAAAAAAAAGTAGGTTTTTTATTGATACTCTTTATGCAGTTAATAACTATATAGTCAAGACCAGATGGTTTTAGGACTGCTTTTAGGGCAGAGACATGTACAATAGCCATCAACTGACTCAATGATCAGAAGAGTGATAAACTACTGAATTCAGTACTAGGCATATACAGTAATCTTCCATATACATGTTTGTTGCTAACTGTTTGCCTAATAAGGAACAAGGTAGGGGAGCTGCTATGGTGTGCACCACCCTTAAAAAGGTACATACCGTTGCGAAACATAACCACAACGTTCCATAACAAATATCACGTGGTCATGAACTTTTTCACCGATTTGTAATATTTCTCACCACAAATGCTTCGTAGCATTTACACCTCATCATTCATAACATAACAACAATAGTTTGTAACTTTCAGTTTAAGGATGCACACTATAGATTTGCCATTCGTAACTTTTACCATAATATACCATAAACATTCGTAACGTTACTTTTTTATGGTATGCCCTTTTTAGGGGTGCACATGATATATTTCACCACGTGGGTATCCTAAACAACTGAAGAAAGTGGGAGACAATCAGGATGGTAACAGATATGCAGTTACTGTGTCAAGTTACTATTTAATTAGGCAAAGCCACCAAGGCTCATAAAGCTTGATGATATTTGCTGTGCCCAACTAGTACATAACCAGCGTTGAAGATCTTAGCCTACTATTGTTTTTCTGTGCCCATTGACACCACAAGGAAACCAAAGCACTTGACTCTTAGCCCCACGCAAATTCAAAAGCATTGCACTTAATTAGGACTTTTTTCACCTTGGTGAGCAGTGATCCCCTTCCCGATCTTCTGAAACAGTAAACATTAAAAGAATAACACAATTGAATTAAATATAAGCACAGCAGAGATAAATAAGGCTTTAATCATCAAACGAACCAAGCAGTGTAAGAATGAGCAAGCAATAGAATTATATTTTATCATTTTTCTTTTCTTTTTTTGGTAACGAATATCTATCTTTTGTTGAACAAATGCAAAAGCACAAAATACATAATTTATTGTCTAGCAAAGACAAAAGACATTCATCAGAACTCTTAACCTACATACGAAAGGTCTAGATATCACAATCATTCTCTAACTTGTCTTCTTCACGAGTACTACGATTTACAAAGAAATGAAAGGATCTCTTTAGAATTTGACATTAAAGTCAGATCAGGAACAAGCACAAGCATGGCACAGCAGACATGCAAATGATGGTTAGGGTGGCGACAATTGAACCTTGGTCAAATGCCCTTCTCAAGCTGCCCGCCAACGAGAAATGCTGGAATGCCAAATACCCCGCAATTATTAAAGAAATAATGATACCTTCTTGTCTTCCCCTGCCAAAAAAAAAAAAAAAAAAACCCACCATATTAAAATTTATTCAAAGATGGAAAAAAAGAAAAAGAAAAAAAACAAGTCTCAACTATCTAGTATTCTGCAATTACTTACCTTAGGTTCATAAGCTGATAAGGAGCCAAAATCACCAGTAGTAGACTTACAAAAGGCAATTCGAGTTCACCTACAAACAAGGAATAGCCAAAACAGGATCTGTTAAAATGTTTCTTCAGATTGATTTAAAGCAGAAATTAGAAGACGGAAGGAACATAGAGGCAGAGAAATACAAGCACAACCAACTAATTCATCCTGCTTCATAGTTTGTTTTCATTTCTCTACTTCCTTTGTAAAGGGAAAATGACAGAAACCTATCATGAGGTTTCTGGAAAGAAATACTGATCTTTGCCATCCATTGAGGTCACTTAACCAATCCTACCTCTCTTCAGATTCAAGTTGACCAACACATACCAACAAGAATAATGAAATTATATAATAAGGACCAAAGTAGTCACAAAACACATTTACAAGGACCAATTTCAAAAAATCCCAGAGCAAGTTCTTGTAAAAACATGGTACCAACTAATTTCAGAATAATAGCCCAACAGTAAATTCATATTATTCTGATAGATACAGAACCTACCAGGAATAAAGAAGAAGAGACGAACAAGAAGTGCCAAGAATGCAGCCCAAATACCATATTCACCCCTGCAAGCCAAAATAACAAGCTACTGAGGCATTGTTCTGAAAACCTTTTGCTTAATAAATAAAATGATGATGGCTATAAAAAAAAGGGGAAATTTCAAAGCACGGTAGAGTTTTAAAATAAATTACAAATAAATGGTAAAATTTATAAGTAATAATTAAAGACAAACTTTTTTCATTAATTTGTAATAATTTTTTTACAGGTGCACAGATCAGTAATTTGCCCTAAAAAATGTGTAATATCTTGATTGGAAGTTCAAAAGCTTACTTCATCCATGAAATGATGCTTGGAGGTGCTTGTAGAGCAAAAAAAGGCACAAGAAAGGATTTGTTAATGGCAGTTCCCTTTGCAAACATTAAGACCCTGGAAAGGGAAAGTAGATTTCCATCAGAGCATAGTCAAAACCTGAAAACTGTTTCATGGAAAGATAAACCAATGTGATTGTAATGCTTCGTTTCTAAGAAGCACAGATACTGACCCAGGAGACAGAAACAACATGATAAGGACATGATGTTAGGGGCACGATAAAAAAGGGTAATCCTAGTGCATGAGGCTCCCACCACTGTGGGGTGTTCTGAGGACCTGTAAACAAATATATATATATATATATACGCATGAAAATAATAACTTCATTTTTTGGTTGAGAAGAAGGACGAGGTATGAGGAATGGAAAAAGTGAGGGGAGAATAGGATTTTGTCTCCCGCTTTGCTGTTTTTTCGTTGAGAAGGAATGAAAGAGAAGGGTGTTACAACCATTGGTTATTCAATTTAAATGGAAGGAAAAGAGACCAGCAAATGCTTATTTTACCGCTATACCCTTATATATTAAATTAACAATTTTTTCAATGTTTGAGGAGCATAAATGTAAACGAAAGCCCCCTCTGATGCTGCCTTCTGTTCCTCTGGTTTTTTCCCCACTTACACAGATCTGTTTTTAATGGTTCCTAAGGGTTTGATCCCCCTCAATTTTCCCCTTTGTTTTCTCTCTCATTCCTACCGGCAGAAGAAAAATGCATGGATCCGCCCACCCATTCCATTTTCCCCAGTTCCCTCCTACCAAACAAAGCATGACTATCTTGATGCAGCAGAAGTATGAATTTCTAGGCAGCAAAAGAGATCCATATGAGTTCAATTCCATTTTCTTTACTAGCTGTCCATCTCAAACCAAATTATTAGCAAGAGTTTGACAATTAACAAGTTAGAGGAGAGGTTCACATAGATGCCCATACTCATGAAAAAGAGCAAAAGTCAACATTACCAGCATACATAAAAATATAAAACAAAAAAGACATAATTAAAGAAGTAGATATATATGCTTAGTTGCTAAACACTCCGTCACCCTTTATACTAAAATTCCACACACAATATTTTCTCATAAAAATAAAATCGTCCCTTAGAAAAATTCAGTTTCCTCAGTTAAACAACTGAACAACTAATTAATCTAATGTACAAAAAAAGAAAAAAAATGCCTAGCCACAGGATGGTGACGTCTGGGACTAGACCCTAAGAGAGCCAAGGTCTCTGAGTTCACCTTTAGGTGGTGCTATATAACATGGCCACTCAACAATGCAGCGGTAAGTTGCAAACTCACACATAGATGGAGATTCGAACACACACTCCTAACACTGGGTACGGCCTGCCCAGGAATGGAAGGCTTGTGCTACCAACCTTTTGTGTGTTGTGGCCCCGATCGCTTGCCCTAGGGAGTGATAGTATAGCCAATTCACCAAAAACCTTTTGTTTTTTTATTTTTTATTTTGTGAAATTTGACCAAAACACTTATTAGACTCATATTTGGTGAAAAAGACAACCTAATTTGTTTTACTTCATAAACCCCCTATAGAGGAGGTGTATATTTATAAATCCCCTTGCATATATGTCTCACAGATTTAAATCAAATCTGTATCAACGATTCATTGAGCTTTGTAGGAAGCTATGTGCTGCCTTTAACATGGCCCCGATTTGCTTCTCTTGAACTCCAATACCAGCAATGAATTGCTTGCACCATGGTTATCTCATTTTTTGTTTTTAGTCGGTGCCATGATTGATAGCAATAATAGCAAATTAACAATGGCTTCATGTAAAAAGGTAAGGAATGGCTGGATAACCATGTGTGGGTTTACTTAAATAAGAAATAGTGAAGTATGTGCAAGTAAATTTTAGTTTTTGATTATTTTTTTTTTATTTGTTTTTGCTATGTGTGATTTGTAATGGTGATTGTTTACTAGTTTGTAAATATAAAAGTAAAATTTCATCTATACTTGTTGTGGTTGCTCATTGAAGATGTACTCTGTTTATTTTTACTGTCAAACAGAATAACATGTTACTGTTTACGTCAATTTCGACGGTAAATTTTTTTATTTTTTTAAGAATATCATAGTCAACATGAATCTTTGATAGATCTTGATGAATTTTTTTAAAAATACTAATTTTATTAAAAACCGACATCTAGATTAAAAGTTATATTATTTTAAGGCCTTGTTTGTCCTCGTTTGGGAATAAACTATTTAATTTTTTGACTTTTTTAGGTCTCGTTTGACTAAAAAGTCATCCCAAACATACTGATTTTTTTTATCTCATATTTTAGTTAAAAAGTCAAACGAGACCTAAAAAAGTCAAAAAGTCAAAAAGAGTGCTCCTAAAGGATATTTTGATAATAGTGGTATGTACTGAACTTTAATGATCTAAAAAAGTCAAAAAGTCACATCATCTTATTTAAATCACATTACCTCTCTATCACATCATTTCAAACTCAACCCACACCCAACCCATATTTCATAAAAAATTAAAAAGTGCACTTATTTAGATCATCTCAAACAACTCTTAAAGTTTAAAATATTAAATTACTCACTAAATGATATTTTGATAATAGTGATATGTGCTGAACTTTTTAAATAATTTTTTATTTTATATTTATTCTTAATGTATTAAAGTTTTATTATGAGAAGATTTTGACCAAATCCTCATTTTTTTTTTTAACTGAGAAAAAGAGTGCTCCTTATCATTGCAATCCTAAGCTCAGGATTATGGCTAGATTTATCCTAATTCAAAGAAAGAGACCCCCTATTACCGGGGTAAGCGGGGAATACACTCAGGTATTATGGCTAGATTTATCCCAATTTAAAGGAAGAAACCACCACCGGAGTAAGCGAGAAATCCACCATCCCTTGGTACAAGAGGCAGGATCACAAGTACAGAGCGGTCAATTTTACCAAATAAATAAGCCACTAGTTATATCCCAGGAATCGAGCCCTATTTACCTGTGTGAAAGGCCAGCGCCTTTCCACGCTGCCACCATCCCGGTGGTTCACCAAAAACCATTTTAAATCCCAAGAAGTTGACCATCTAACTTAAATTATATTATTATTTACCAACGAAAAAACAAATAAATAAATAACTTAAATTAGTATTATTTTTTCTAAATTATCCTAAACTATTTTCAAACCAGTACAGTTGGCTTCACAGAATTCATTTATAACTTCTCCAAATTTCCTAACAAAAAAATATCAGCAAACTATTTTCTAAATGAAAAAGAGTTTTTTTTTTTTCCAATAAATAACACCCCTAATCATAACATGAGGCGTCTCAGACTCTCAATCATTTTCATCATCCAGGTCATACAGCAATATGACACTACCAATCAATCAATCGAGAGAGAAAGAGACGTGCTTACGCGGTGGAAACGGTGGAGATCCATTGAAGGTCGCGAGGAGTGAAAGGCGCAGAGTAACAAACAGGACCCAATCGTCCTCGCTTCTTCTTCTTCATCATCATCATCCCCTCACAGTTCCTCGAAACTCTGCATATACAAATACGCATATATAAATCAATACAAACACAAAAACACAATTCCAATCGACTAAACCCATGAATTCAGCATTGAATTTCTCAAAATTCGCAGAATGTGTAGTACCTGAAGTGGTTGAAGTGAAGGAAGCTCGAGTCTGGAGCGAGATGCAGAAGCCTACTCTCATGAGGCGGAGATTTTAGAGAGAGAGTGTGTTTGTTGTAGAGAGAGAAAGGCCGTGGAGAGGAGAGAGAAAGAGCCAGCATCTTGTTTCTAGTGTTTGTCTTTCGGTTTTCGCCGGAAGAGAGAGAGAGAGAGAGAGAGAGAGAGGGAGAGGGAGACGGAGAGAGTCAGTGTTGCGTTGGGGTCATAAACTGGTCAAGTTTGGTTCAGGTCTCGTTTAATAACAATTTTTTTAGTTTAAAAGTTAAAAATTTATTAAAAAATTAAAAATTTATATTAAAAATTAAAGCCTTTTTACATTTTTTTTGTAAAATATAAAAAAATTATTCTAAAATATACTAATTTTTTTACATCATATTTTAATTAAAAAACTAAAAAATTATTAAAAAAATTTATTCCCAAACACAGCTTTAGTAACAGTTTTGAAATTTATTGACATTAGTGTGGTAAATTTTTGAGTTGATCTAAAATCAATTTTGATTGAATCAAGTTTGAATAATTTGATATTTTATATAATTTTAAATTCATTATGGAGTGAGTCTGAATAATTTTAATATTTTATATAATTTTAAATTTATTAAATTGAGCTAAGCAAGTAATTAATTATGTAAATTTGAATATAAAAATTCTAATGAATTTCAAAATATATTTAAATTTATTTTATTTATTTAGCAAAGTAAATTCAAATAAATTTTTAATAAATCGAATACTCGAATTATTTGATCAGTCTATTACTCATGATCAGAGTTGCGATAACAGCTTGTGTCAAGTCACGTTGTCGGTTGTTCTTCATTCGTCAACGTGTACATCCACTTGAAACGTGGTATTCCTAGAAAATTATTAAGCATATCACTCCAGATTTTCTTCACTTTTATAATTTCAATTTTTCATTTTTTTGCACGAGATAATGTTAACCAATTAATATTAGATTACCACACAAATCCATTTCTCTTTTTGTAGAGTCACAATCACAATCTCAAACTTCAAATTGATAAATATCTTCTACAAAAAAAATTATTTGATAATTGTAAAATAATATTTCATTTTATCAATTAAAAAATAAGTTGACAAACTAGTCCCTAAAATATTACATAACTTTTGAATTGAACTTTTTTCAAGTTTAAAATTAAACTTGATCGTTATTTTCAAACTCATGGAGTTTGCCATGCAATGATCTGAATTATTTATTTTGCAAGGTATTTTATACATATCATTAATAAAAAAAATTAAGTTGATCTAAAAATCGTAATATTTTATTTTATCGCATTTAGCTAAAAAAAATAATTGATCTATTTTTAAAAATACCATTTGTTATATATTTTTTCAAAAATAAACGTATTAATATAAAAATATTATAATTATCATATTGATATACACAAAGTATCATACAAAAAAGAATGATTTTGACATCATTAAAACATAACCAACTAATAATAAGTCTTATAAACTTAAGGTGGTGTTTGGCAAGTGGGTTGGGGCTAAAATAGCCACAACAAACAAAACATCACATTCAACCCATAATCATTACACTCTTCTCTCACAAAAAAAAGTCAAAAAGCCAAAAAGTCCTTCCCAAACCAAGCTTTTTAGCTCAGGCTAAAATAGCCAAAAAAGCCAAAAAGCCAAAAAGCCAACCCACTTCCCAAACGGAGGCTAAATATAATAGTCAAATTCAAATTTAATGAAATTCAAATTTTAACTCGAAAGAATTGCAACACATTAAAAAGAAAAAAAAAAATCTGTCAATACCACTTGACATACCACTCATTATCGTAACTAAAAACATTTTGTTTCGATTTTTTATTTATTTATTGTTTTTTAAAAACCGAAAAAGAATAGATAAATTACACTGCTTTCGCTTTGAGATTTTTAAAAAAAGTTCTTTTTAATAAGATTAAAGTAATTAAAATTAATACAAATAGTATGAAAATATAGATAAATAAAAAAATATAATTTCAATGTAAAAAAATATTATTATTTTTCTATTCATATGATGAAACCAATTATTGATAAAAATAAGAATAAATGTTATGTAAATTAAAATCTTAAATGAATCTAATATAGTTATGTCAAAATTATAAAATTTATTTCTCTAAATTTTAAAGAAGTTAATACAATTCACCCAAAAAGAATTGATAAATCAAGATAAAATTATTACCTATGGTTTCATAAATTTAAAACCAAACCGAACAATGAAAACACAATTCAATTCGGTTAAGAACTACAATTTTCGTAATATAATCATAACTGACTTAATTATCAAACAATATATATATATATATATATATATATATAAGATACTAATAAGACATTTTAATGTCTATAATAAATAATAAATTATATGTGTATATATCTAAACAATATAGTTCGGTTTTAAAATAGAATTAAACTATAAAATCATGAACTAAACTGAAATATGATTCACTTATTTTAATAACTAGGACTTAATTATACATTAATGTTGTGTTTGGTTGAGGGATTTGAAGAGAGATTTGGAAAGAGAAATAGAAAAAATAAGTAAAATAGGAATAAAATATGCTTATATTTTACCTACATACCTTTTCCCTTTTCCTTTCCAAATCCCTCAATCAAATATAATATAAAAAAAAATCAAACCAAACAATACGGTAGTCCTAGACTGATTTACAATTTTTTCCATCTTTCTACAAGCCCTAACACCACCAACAATGTAATACGCGTGTACCTGATTTTCTCTTTTAATAAAGGCCGTCACCTGCTAGGCTCGAGGCCATAAGATGGATCAACTCAACACCCTTTAACATTTAGGGTAAATTACACCTCCACCCCCTAAAGTGTAGCTTTAATACAGATACTTAGCTGACGTTTTAAAAATTACATTTCCCTTCACAAAATTTGTAATCTCATTAAAATTTGTATCCTCCGTTAACTAAATTTGTATCCTCCGTTAACTAGCCATTAGGTTAACTAACACCAGTTTCATATCATCAATTAATTTGTTTGATGAATTGAGTGGTTATCCTAATAACTTTTACCCCTTTTTCAAAATCAACAATCTTTACATTATATCTCTCTTTAATTTATTTGCCATAAGCCGATTGAATTTTTTTTTTTTTTGGATTTGATTTTTTAATGAGAGTACCGGCAGAATTGAGGTTTTTGTAAAAATATTACATAACTTTTGAATTGAACTTCTTTCAATTTTAAAATTAAACTTGATTCAATTGTGATCTGGAGTTCAAAACGTACACAGGCTTCTACTGTGAAGAGAAGGTAGGGTGAAAAAGAAATTCCATGCCTAATTCATCACAAGGAAATGATAAGTCATTTTATTTATTTTTTATTGAAACGGTGTTTGATTGGAAAATTTGGAAAGAGATTTAAAAAAAAATAAATTTATGTGTAAAATAAAGTAAAATATAAATATATTTTATTCACATTTCACTTACTTTTTCTATTTCCCTTTCTAAATATCTCCTCAAATTCCTCAACCAAACACAACACAAGGGAGTTAATCGACAGACTTTGACAGCAAGTCAATATAATTTCCGCAACATCGGAAAGATATTTGTATTAAAGCCAAATCTTAGGAGATGCAAGTATAATATACCAAAACATTTTAACTAAGCATAACGTTTTGACTACTATTAACACAATATATTATTGTGAGTAATGAGATTTCTGATAATGAAATTCCATTTCTTCTCTTTATTCCTACCATCCAAGCATAGAACAACCACTTGAATTAGAGGAAAGAAAAGATCAAAAACGAAAATCAAATACAAGTTAAATTTTTTCTGTTTTGGTTAGATTAAAGGAAATGAAAAGAAAATGAATACAAAATGTCAATGAAAAAAAAAATGTTTAGTTACCTACCTACAAAAAAAAAGGGAAAAGAAAGAAAAAAAAAAAAGAAAAAAAGTGAAGGTGTATTTCTATTTTACTTTCATTTTCTTTTCATTTGACAAATTCAAAATTTAAACGTTACCGAACCACGTGAAAACATGGATGTACCTACAATGCTATGGGAAAACAATCTCCATTCACGTAATTAATCACACAGGGATGTACCAACAATGCTCTATGATGCTATTTCATGGATCGGCATATTTGGCGATGAGAGAGAGAGAGAGAGAGAGAAAGAGAGAGAACATAACAGAAAAATGGAAAGTTTACAACAGTGTCCCAATGGCTAGACAGATAAAAAGGTACAAGCAATCACAGCATCAAAGCAACACAGTAGAGACTACTCAATATCAATCTATAATTCAGCATTGCACTAGCTGAATATATGCTTTTATTTTAACATCTTACATGACTTCTGAATAAAATTAACCCTTACATAACTATCAAGAGATGGCAATAACAACAGAAATCGACAGCAATCTGTATTGCCAAATGAATTTACAGTACACTACTCAAAATTCACAGTACTTCCTAAGGGACAAAAAATGTCAAATTTAACACGGGATAATATTAGTTTTTGTACAAAAATTACGATAGAATGAATAGCAATTCAAAACTGCATACCTATTTGATACTGCAATTGGCAGCAAATCCAAAACAGAGGTCCGCATGACCTGCAGATAAGGCATAGAAAATTCACAATGGTAAAACAAAGTTCTAATTCAGCAGTGCAAGTCAAGCTGGTTTGTTCAAGTTTTCCTACAAACCAATTGCATTTGTCTTCTAAATACTCTTTAGTGAGAAAAATATTATTGCTATTCAATTCTAGGTTCTCTTCACAATCCTATTCAATGGTCTCTTTTTAACCTGAAGCAGCTACCTAATCAAAAGGCTGTTCCCATTTGAAAATATTGTCAATAATTCAACCAACATGTAGCCTGAGATCTTAAACCGTACTACTTACTCTTGGGCTTACTGACATGTGTCCTGTAAATTGGCATCACAGACATCCCCATCTTTGATCTTTCCATAAATCAACATCAATCCTAGAAGTGCATGAAAAGTAACTACACAAATCCCTCTACCAAAAAAATAAAAAAAAAAATTAAATAGAAGGAAAAATAGAAAGGAAAAAAAATAGTAGTTAGCGACTACTTCATTTCTCTTTTCCCTTTCCGTTTTTTTATTTTTATTTTTCCCTCCACAAACCCCTACACAAATCCCATAGCAAAACACAGCCTGGGAGAATTAGCATTCTAAGTTTAAGGCTAGCAACAGGTAGTTTGGTCAAGTTTACCTATAATGTACATCCTCTTAGGTATAAGATGAAAATTCCTCATAGACTAATAACCCACCCACTTGACCTATATGGTAACTAATCCATTGACATTTTTAAGTATACTTGAATCGTTGCAGGACCTATGGTTAGCAGAATGAATTACTTAAAGAGTCATAACTGAGTGTTGCAGCTTGTCTTGTGGAGCCACAAGTAAGGATAAAGAAAATAGATGCATTTAATCACAAGACCAATCCCGTATTCAACAATGATCTCACTCACTCTCTTACCCGGAATAACCTTCCAATCACTTTAACACTGATCCTTATAAGTTATAATCATGAAATCAACGACCTCACTCTCTTAGCTTGAACTACTTGAAAAGATAAAATCGCAACAAACCATTAAAACATCAATATCACAATCAGAGGACGTGCCAACATCATGAAAGAAAGGGAATGGCTATATGAGGACTGAGATCTGACTAACATGCTTTAAAAACTGAAGTTCAAACAAATGAGAGGAGCATGAATGGTAGTCAAGCCTTCTAAACTAAAAGATTTTGTGAATCTTGACAAAGTGGAACCAAAGTAAATCTATGCACCTAAAGCTATAACAAATGGATATAATTATATAATTAATAATAACAAAATACAAGAATCAAAGCAAGAAATACGAAATCCTGGAGAAACTATAGCTTCCCTTCTTGAAGCTAAAGGATGTCTTCTTAAATAGTAGTTCTTTCAGTACTCTGCCTACCTACATATTACAAGGGTCTCTTGCTTAAAGTTCCAATATCATAGTAATTCAGCTTAGCTTTTCTTCACAGGTGTACTCTGTCTGTAATGTGCCTTGACTTTATCATAGCATTAAAAAGAATCTTCTATTTTGGGAAACCCTATTGACAAAACTCTAGTTGAAATGTCCAATCTATCTAGCATTGTGTCTAACTCCGATGGTTCACCATCAGCATTCTCTACACTGCTGCCTCCTCCATGGCCATATACCCTCCTAAGGAGAGAGCCTTTTGCAGTTTTTTCCAGTAACAACCCCCTCAAATTTCTAGCAGAAGAATGGCATTCCTTCACCAAATGAGAGGATTCCACACCACAGAAACTGCTGGCCTGTAGCTCCTATTTCTAAAAGATCAGGGTTTGCAGTGTAGTAACTGATCCTCATCAACTTCCAAATTCCAATAATTTCTGTAGTGCTCACTTGTTATCATGTAAGGAAGACCTTTATCTTAATTCTTATAGAAGGTAACAATTAACACAAGTTATTAGAATTCTAAATTTAGGATTTGGGTTTTTTTTTTAAAAAAAAACAAGATGATGCAGCCAAGCAATACATCAATATTTCAATGAATTCCATAAAATCTAAAATACAGGAATATAATCAACAATAAAAGAAAAGTAAGAAATAGAAGACAACAGAAGGCTTGCACAAATGGGAAAACAACAATGTTCTCTAATAAAAATCTCACTAATATAATATGGGATTGATCCCAAATCCCTTTCCCCTCACCCCAAGAATGGGAAAATAAGCGCTCACACAAAAAAGAAGGATAAAAAGCTTCTTGCGCACCAACAAATTCACATTCTCCACAATCCTTTTTAGAGGAGTCTATTCTAGTTTTCCTTGGCTTCTATATGTTCATGAGGATTCTTGAAATTAATAGAACCATATCTTGTATATATCAAGAAGCATATAGAATAACAATTCCTTCCACAATATGTTGCTCAAGTCATCTTATAGGAACCAGGATTTAAGTCCTCATCCTAGCATGTTTGCTATATTATTAAATAAATAAATAAAATGAAAAGCACACAAGAATTAAGTGATGATGGAAGCACCTGAGCATAACAAGATGAGGCAAGTAATGCATCAGTATCATTTTCAACTGTTGAAAGTCAAATACTATAATTCATAGGGTTGGATATTCTTTTCCACAAGGCAATAAAATAATGATTGAGCAAGAAAAAAAATTGATTGCATAACTAGGGTCAACAGTTATTAATGCAAAAACAAGCTCACAAAATTTATTCCACAACAAAATAATTCATATACACACCCTTAAGAAAATATAAGCACCTATAACTGTACAATGCAAATATAGAAAAGTTCTTTAAAACCACCTTTGCCACAAATTCGATTGAACACTTGAAGAGATTGTCAAAAGAGGAGAGAAAAGAAAGGAATGAGCACCAAAAGCTGACTGAACAAAGGACTAATGATATATTTAGTCTAAATAACTATACCAGGAGCTCAAGGAGGAATGAATATTGAGCATCTATATTGAGGATATTTTTTGCTTAAAACAAGATGACAAGGACAAGGAACTGTTAAATTGAGCAAAATAGGTGAGAACAAGGGGCTCTTATTCCTTGTTACCGAATCTCTTGGCAATGATAGGACGGACATCATCAGCATCAACCAGGGTCTCAAGGAAGGGTAGTAATGAAATTAGTGCACAATCTGATGGGTCATCAAACCAACTCTTAATAGGAATCCCATTATTCACTTGCAACCGAAAAACCTGAAATCACCAAAGAGAAGCATTTAATAACAAGTAACTTCTCCAACAGAGATTTGTAACTTTTAGCTTTTCTACTTTCCTTTACCATTAGGAATGTACCAAACGTTCTATCATGTCACTAGAAACAAAAATAGGACCAGTTTCTTCTCATACACCTTATGTGAATGAATTTAATCTAGATGCTGAAATACTGTCCAATAAAACTCTAAGCCGGGGGTCAATCTTTTATAAGTATTGCCTCAACACTATCTCAAACAATTCAACAGTTTTTATGTGTAGGTCACTACCAAACACTCTCATCATTCTGAATTTGTGGCTAAAAGGATTGGTAAATTAAATCCAAAATTAAATTTGGTCGACCAACAGACTTGATCTCACATATCCAATTCCCTTCATAAAAAAAGGTTTGAACAATATATAACACTTGAGACCATAATAAAAGATATATATATACATATATATATATAACCAAAACAATAAAAACACAAAATATATCCTCAAGGAAGAAGGAAGAAAGGAAAGAGGCAAAATGAGCAAAGGATACGTGAAAGTCAATGGGCAGGAAATCTACCTGAGGAGAATTGTCAATTATAACAATTTTTGCAAGATCAACACCTAAAACTGTTAAGTCCTTGGTGTAACTTCCATCTGAAAAAATGCATGATTCACGATAAGCTCGACGAGATATAAGTTTTCTATCTGGATCCAATATATCCAGAAGCTGTTCTGCATAGATGCTTTGACTGGCTGTGAACACCACAATTTCAAACATCTCAGCAACCCTCTCCAGGAACATCTGAAGGTAAGGCCTCTGTTTTACATAGACTGTGTGCTCTTTCATGTTGAAAAAGACTGGAAAGCTAAAATCCGCATCTTCACAATGTTCCAAAGTAGAGTGGACAAGTGTTTCTGCACAAATGAAGCTAGTGTGACCAACCTTTGGAAGCATCAACTTATGTAAATATCCTTTAAAATGATTCGTAGAAATACAAGTACACTAGAAGTTGAAAGTTCACTATAGGTGTGGATCATAAATATTATACTGATATAACCGAGAAATAAACTAGATGAGAAAAAATGAAATACTATCAAGATTAATAGTAAACAGATCAAAGGAGTTCAATTTTCTTACCATCCAAATCCAGTACCAGGGTAGTGGACTTCATTTTCTGTGTTTCATTTAGCAATGTAATGGGGTGAAAATTTGGCGCCACATCTGGTAGGTCAGGTAGATTTCTGATAAACATGTGTGGATCAAAGCACTCTAATTGATCTGAATCTGAGTAGGGATTCACATCAGGTTCCTCATTGCAGGATCTCAACTGATGGATTGCAAGATACAAGCTTGAATCATCTGAATCTATAATTGTGTCCTCACATGTTCTGCCTTCATGATCGCCACCTGCCTCCATGGTATCCTCAAGGAAAGGCAGTATCATGTATTCCTCAGCCACATCAAAAAACGTACTTGGCTCATCACATTTGTAATCAAGCAAGCAACTAGCTTCTGTGATGTCATCATAAATTGAGTTGCCTTCAATGGGTAAGCCTGCAACAATCATGTCAGAAATGTAGAAATCTGAGACATTGCAAGTTTGATATTCACTAGAGCTTCTGCTGTTATCATCACTGTCATCAGCTCCCAAAAGTGATGGATCAAGATCCTCGTTACTCCCTGCATAGAGATAAGAGGAAGGTAAGGCTAATTTAGACAATGTCAATCCATTTTTAGCACGACCAATTCAAAACTGAACGTGAATCTTCTGCTTTGTGCTGTCATATGCAGAAGATGGTTTATTTTATATTTCCAAACCTAAGACGTGTTTGAAATATTTTATAAAAACATAATCCAATAAGAAAAATCTATGTTGTTTGACATTCTTTACAAACATGTGCAAAGATTTATACTCCCATCTCCAACAAAGAACTCTTCATGGATCAAGCAAAACTTCATCATTATTCATTCAAGTGACACATTAAATAAGTTGGGAATGCAAGTGATAAAGAATTAAACTGGTGTGCAGGCAACAAATGAAATGAGTTTGAATACAATGCAGGCATTGGGGGTCTCTAGTAATTGCTTTTTGGTGATCTTCCCAAACAAAATGTGTTGCTTCTTTGTTCTGCTCATCTTACAATTTTCGCACCGGTCAAGGATGTCGTAATTTTTTAAATATGTGAACCCAATCTCTTCAAAGTGCCTTTTAGTGAAGGAAATTTTGAGTTATGGGGAGCTTTAAATGATCAATATCGTATTCAAAACCAAAAGAAAGAAACAGATAATTTACTTCAGATACATACAGACCATTTTCTGGAAACATGAAGAAGTGACTTCCAGCATTTTCATTTCCAACTTTTTTAGGAGGAATGAAGCAACACTCAAACAAAATTTCTCAAAAAACTTCATCTTCATGTCAAAAAGTACACATGCTCTAGCGACAAATCTCTAATTAAAGATAAAAAAAACAATTCCCAAGATACCATAAACAGAAAAATTCTAAACTGTACCTGCATCATTGTTGATCTCTGGTTCACCGTGAACTTCATTTGACTCCAAAGTTGGTGAAAAAATTGTCTCCAAGTTTGACGCACAAGTTGGTGGTGTAGTTTCCTGCAATCAACCATCATTTGTCACACATCACTATAGTAACATTCTAGGAATACATTGTCAGCCTCTTGAAATATGGGGAACAGTTCGAGTAGCAAAAACAAGAAATAAACCGCTGAGTATGTTTCAATCTAATTATCAGGAAACCAATTTCGCAATCTACATAGGCCCATCTGGCCACCAATGTTCATATTCTGCAAAAATCTCCAACTTCAGTTGATAGCAGGAAATAATGACTCCAACGGAATCCATGAGAAAACTAAGAAAATAAGAGAATGGCTCTCAATATGCCATGGATCGTCGCTGATCAGGTTTGTACTCGTTTTTCCTTTCATTTTACTCTTGTCGCTGTGTCGTTGTGTCCATGGCGTGTCCAGATTTGGACACGCGTGTCCCCGCAGTGTCTCTTCCGTATCCCCTGTAAAAAAATAAATTAAATTAAGGGGACACGCCAGATGCCGTGTCCCGTACGTGTCTCCGGCGTGTCCCCGTGTCCCCGGCGTGTCCCCGTATCCGACACCCCCACGGCTTCCATTTTGGCGTGTCCATGCTTCATAGCATGTATGTTCAAAATCTCAATTTCAAAAGCTAAATTAAAAAATAAATAAATAAAAACACACACACACATATTTTACAATTGGCGCATTGTTACCATTTGAAGTAGTTCTTAGCATTCAATCAATTCCTATCATGTTAGCACTTCCCTCTAAAACCACTAAAATAGTTTCACTAAGCAAAACAAACTGCAAATAGAGAATACCATATGCCATTGACTACTACTAAAATTTAGTGTGATGAGGAGAAACATTTAAAGGTGCTTGGAAAACATACAACTGCATTTAGTGAGCTGAGACTTTGTCACAAACCTCAAACAGATCATAATATTTGTAATGTAGAGCTCAGTAGAAACATATATGAGAAAAGATACCTGAATAAATGTGTGTGCAACACCCTGACCCGACCCACAAAATAATAGCAGAAAAAGAAGAAGAAAATTTAGATAACAATATTTGAATTTGTGAAATACTGTATGCTGACATCATGTATTCTCTAAATCTACAAAATATGATTGAGGTATCAGAGGGCAAATCGATGAATCAATAGAAATTTGTGGGATCAAAACTCTTCTCTTTTTTGTCAAGTATGGGGTACTGTGCTAACATGATAGGAGTGTAATTTTAGTAGCAATAACAATGGAAGTAGATGAGAAGTGAAGATTGGGAACCAAAAACTACCTAAGAGTGAACATTTTCGTTATTTAGGATCGATTATTACAACGGCTAGAGAGATTGGAGTGGATGTGGTCCATAGAATTAAGGTGGGTGGCTTAAGTGGAAGGGTTCGTCTGGGGTACTGTGCAATAAACGAGTACCCACTACACTAGACTAAAAGAAAAGTTCTATAGAACGGCTATTAGACCAGCGATGTTGTGTGGTGTCGGAATGTTGGACAACTAAGAAATAACATGTAGATAAGATGATTGTTGCTGAGGTGAAGATGCTAACATAGATGTGTGGCAAGACTAGAAAATATGAGTTAGGAATGAGTATATTTGAGAATGGGTAGGAGTAGTACTGATAGAAAATAAGTTGAGAGAGAATAGATTGAGATGGTTTGATCATATACAACGAAAACCAACAGAGATAGTAGTGAAGAGATGCAATACAAGGACGGTAGATGGAAGGGTTAGAGGAAGGGGTAGACCTAGATTGACGTGGGCTAGAAAAGTAAATAGAGATATGAACCTCCTTAATTTGACTAACGAAATGACCTTGGATAGAGTCGAGTGGAGAAGAAGAATTCATGTAGCCAACCCCATTTGATGGGACCTAAAAGACTTAGCTTGGTTTGGTTTGGTTTTATGGAAAAATGGAGGAAGCATGGCATAGCATAAATTTGTAGGAGGCTAGAAGGGGTAAACATTTAGCTTTATGAATATTGTGCATGTGCATGAATCTAATGAACTTCATGCTATTTTTCCTGAATCTGGAATGTGAAAGGAAAGTTCCCCACACAAAATAACACCAAAAATAGGCATGAGATAAAAGAACATGCAGCAATTAGTGTACTGTATTAGATATCATAAAATGACAAGCTTTTTGAAAAGAATAACAGTTACCAGACAGCTATCCTAATATGCAATAAAGTTGAATATTATAATTTCTCCTTACCATTCTCCCAGCAGTCGCAAAATTTAACTCAAGATTTTCTTCATCGATCAATTCATGATGGTCAATAGCTTTGTCATCTTCAATCTCCTGAGCATATACTTTATTGCACAGAGAAACTACAAGAACAATAAGTGTGATTAGAAGAGGTATTCCACACGACAAAGTATTTTTTCTCATTCACAGAAAAATCTATAGAGATTACATAGATAGCTACAATAAAACTGCAGGAACACGAGAAAGATCAAAAGCCTTGCAAAATAATACTTTACAAATGTTGTTCTGGTGTTTTTTTTTCTTTTTATGCCCAGACACATGCTATGGCAAACAGTAAAAAGCAAATCATAGACATACTATGCAATAAATTCAAAATTTTATCGCAATTTCTTTTTTAAAAAAATGAATTTTGGAACATTTTTTTAATGTTTTTTGATTGGCAAATTTTTGAGCATCTTCTCTTCAAATCAGAGAGAAAAAGGGAAACTATTCTAACAGGCATTTTACTGTAAATCAAGGATTATGAAAATATATAATGTCGCAGTTCGCCTTTTTTAAAAGGTTTTGAGCTTTCAGGGTTCATTGTCATTGTTTACTAAAATAATATTTGTTTCTACTACACAAAAAATTCAAAACTTTTTTACTTTCAGTTTTTTCAATGTAAAAATAGAGCCCAACCACACATAAGTTTCTGGAAACATCAAGAAACTGAGTTTTCCTCCTGTATCCTGAAAATCCAAAATATCAGATTTTCTTTTTGCACACCAAAAAACTACAACCATGTGAAAATTTTGAAATCAATAAATGCCCATTGAAAGCAAAGTCTGTATAAGCATAAACACGTGAAGTTGAAAAGGAGAAACTACAGTTCAAACTTTGAGTGATTGACCAAACAAATAGAAGTAGCATAGTCCAAATATCTAATAGAAACACATAGTTTTAATGAATTCTTGTATCTAAAACCAGATATCCAAATTCAAATATGACAGAGAGCGACAGTCTTTCACTAGAAAACTTCATGAAATTGAACAGTGGTTTATATATTTCAAACTGACTATTAGGGTTGGTTTGGGGTGTCCTAAAAAAGTGCACTTTTTGTCTTTTTACGAAAAGATGTGCAGAAAAGTAGAGAGGTGAGGTGATGGAAAAAAGATAAAAAGATAAAAAGATGGATTATATAGTCTATGCCAAACAACCCCTTAAGCTTCTAATTTATCCATGCATTTTATTTATATTTGTTTAAAAAATCCAAGTAGTTACAATATATTTTAAACTATGACTATTACAATATTTTCAGTGCATTTTATAGAAACTTGTTTAAAAATCTCAAGTCTATTGTCATATGACTATGATACATAAAAACCAGAGATTAATAATGCAATATCTCACAATAGATGAAAAACTTGACTCAAATTGTACCACATAACCATAAAAACTAATCTGAAAGATACAAATATATGGCCTTTATTGACACCACCAAGAGATCTTATCTAAAAGTTTTCATGTAATTACTAAGAGACATCACTTACCATTCTCACTATTTTGAATAATAGAATCAAATTCTGCTGTTTGATGAGAAATCCGGACATTAGAGCAAGAATTCTTCGATATCATGTTTGACTTCTGGCATACATGGAGACCATTTTTTTCTCTTAAACACCCCACAGTTGACTTGGTCTTCATTTTTAATGATGGCATTTGATCTGTCCTTGTTATATGTAGCACAATCTTCAATTGAGTACATCAGTGGGGAAACAAAACCCCTCTAAACAATCAATACAGCAGCAAAAGACTGTCATGAAAACAACTGGGATAAGAAATTAATACTGGACACAGCAATACATGTAGAGCAACTACTACAGAATATAATAAGAGACACATGAATCAGAAAGACAGGAAATGTAAATTGAATAGCGATAGTATATATGCATCGATGGGAATGAAAACAGTTTTAGAGCAACCACGATTCATTTAAAGAAAACTAAGATGTAGGTCAACAACCCACCACGTACAGTATTTATATAAGTGAAATAACATAGAAGCAGACTGAGTATTGACAGTTTGACTCAGCTACAAATGCTATCATGGTAAACTGTGGAATTTACCTTACGACTACAAGGACCCACACTTCAATTCATTAAAGATTTTGTGGTTCTATGAAAAAAAGTCATTTTTTTCTTATAAATAAATATCATAGCACCTCTTGATTCAATACTTATATTTTGGTTAGTTTATAATAGTTAAAAAGTCTAAAAAGTCGCACAATCTGGCTGTTATTCATAAAACAAAAGGCCATATTCTTTGTTGAAATTGCTCAATCTAGTACTTTGTGACAGTTTTGAATTCTGATGCCATACACTAATCATACCCTTATGAATGCAGCATCAACTAGTATTATATGGGTGACATTATGTCCCGATCTGAAAGTATAATCAATGTAGACCTATTCAGTCGTCCCTCTGAATTCAAATATTGCCCGTCTCATTAGGTTAAAAAATTCCCATGCTGAGAACAAAACGGCGGATACAAACAGTGGGTCAAATGGCTGGGTAAACAACGTTCCTTTTGGCCGTTCTTTGATGTCAGCTATTCATTAATGGAACAGTAACATTCCCATTTTGAGAACAAAACGGCAGATACAAACAACAATGGGTCAAATGGCTAGGTAAATAACGTTCCTTTTGGCTGTTCTTTGATATCAACTATTTATTGAAAACAGCAACATTTCCATTTTGAGAACAAAACGGCGTATACAGATAACAGCAGGTTAAATGGCTAGGAAAATACGTGGCCATTCTTTGATGTCAACTATGCATTAATGAAAACAGTTTCATTTCCATTTCAAGAAAAAACCGGCGGATATAGACAACAGTGGGTCAAATGGCTAGGTAAATAACATCCCTTTTGGCCGTTCTTTGATGTCACCTATGCATTAATGAAAACAATTTTGAGAACAAAATGGCAGATACAGACAACAGCAGCTTAAATGGCTAGGTAAATAACAACCTTTTGGCCATTCTTTGATGTCAGCTATGCATTAATGAAAACAATTTCATTTCCATTTTATGAACAAAACGGCGGCTACAAACAACAGTGGGACAAATGGCTAGGTAAATAACGTCCCTTTTACCGTTCTTGGATGTCAACTATGCATTAATGAAAACAGTAACATTTCTATTTTGAGAATAAACGTTGGATACAGACAAAAGTGGGTCAAATGGCTAGGTAAACAACGTCCCTTCAAACTGTTCTTTAACGTCAACTATTAATGAATGAAAACAGTGACCGATGGTGGAAGTGACTAGAAAGAAAAAAGTGTTTGTTTTTATTTCTTTCGATTTTTTTACTTTATCTACAACATAAAGATAAGAATAACAATTGTTGTTTGGATACGCTACCAATTTTTCGATTATTTTGGAAACACAAATCACAGCTCAAGTTGCAAAAGAGATGGATATAACCCCTTCCAATCATAAGAAGGGAATATGGCATGTTGTTCCTCAAAATTATATCATCCATCTCCACCCATTTGTACATAAAATCTAAAATCTACAACTCACTTACATGATTAACACAGAGATCTTAAATTGAAACTTGCAGACTAATTCTGTTGATGAAATCTGCAGGTTTTCTTCCCTTTCAAACTAGTTACAAGAAGAGAAAAACCCAAGCTTGTCCAAAAAAAATTTAAAAAAAAAAAAAAAACCCACAAACAGAGAATCAAAGTACAGAACTTTCACACATATATACACATACAAGCAATTCAGAAATCCGGTAATCCCAAATCAAAGAACACCAGAAGAATTTTCCAAGTAAACCCGCAAACGACGAAGTCAACCCAAGTAATTAAACCCAAGAAACGCAATTAACAACAATCAATTCACACAACAACAAAAATCGTAAGAATCATCAAAATCAAAACTAAAAGCAAGCAATCTACGAACTTAAAACCCTAGAAACAAAACCGAACAACGATTCATCCAGTTGAATTATCAGTAAATAGAGAGTCCTCATATACAAACACTCAATACTAATCAATCAAGCTGATAAATAAAGATGTAGATAACAGTGAATTAATGAACAAGAACAACATGAACATACCTGCGAATCAAACAAGTCTCTCTCTCTCTAGATACATATATATATACATGCATATATATGAGCCTCGATTTCTCTCTCTAAAGTTTCACTTTCTCTCTCTAAAAAAAAGTGGTGTAGTGTGTGGGTGTGTGGGGATGTAAGGGGTTATTAATTTTACTTACAGTAATATTACTATTATTAATTTTACTTACAGTAATATTATATGTATCAATTAGCATATTAACATAGTTAGAATATTGCTATTTTAAAATTATAATCTCATTCATTATATAAATTATAAATATTCAAAATTTTTAAAATTATATCATATTATCAATTAGTACAATAATTAGTATATCAATTGATACATATAACATTATTGTTTTATTTATTACATAAATTATAAATATTCAAAATTTCTAAAATTATATCACATTATTTATTAATATATTAATTAATATATCAATTAATATATATAATATTTATTTATTTTTAATATACCAATTAATATATATAATATTTATTTATTTATTATTTTTTTTTAAGTTACGCGCGAGAGAACGGTCTCGAGGGTCTATGATGATGTGGTGATGATGTGTTTACTTTGAGGAGAAGATTAAAATGGACGGCTGTGATTGGAATTTGTGGGAAGGTGATTGGACCGGTGGGAAGCTGCCACGTGTAGTCAGCGTCCAGCTCAGCGTGACGTGATGACACGTGCAGGTTCGCGGAAAGAGAGGAATCGTGGAAGGAAGGGACTACTCTAATGCGCTCTGGGGTGCGTGTGTTACACGCTCCTCCTTTAGGGTTTGTTTGAAAATTAAAATTTTAATTATTTAAGAAAAAAACTGTGTAAAAAAATAAAAAAGTAATATTAATAATTTAATAACTTGTAATAACAACTTTTTAAAATTTTAATTAAAATATTTGATTATCAAATATAGCCTTAGCCCTCGTTTGGTAGGGGGAGTTAAGGATATTTTAGTCATAAAAAAATAAAATAGATTAAAAAATTAATAAAAAAAAATCTGACATCAAACTATAATTATTTCATTTTTTCTTTCATAAAAATCAAAAAATTCATCTCAAACAAAATTTTTTAACTCTAAATTAAATTAACTAAGTCTATGTTTGGGAAGTTGGTTTGGTTGGGTTAGCGGCTAAAATAGTCACAAAAAACAAAATAGGCTATTTTAGCCACAAAAAACAAAACATTAAATCTAACCCATAATCATTACACTCCTTTCTCACAAAAAAAGTCAAAAAAGTCAAAAAGTCAAATAGCCAAAAAGCTCTTCCCAAACCAGGCTTTTTAATCTCAGGAAAATAGTCAAAAAGTCAAAAAGCCAAAAAACCAACCAACTTCCCAAACGGAAGCTAAAACGTCAAAAAATTAAAAAATCAACTCATATCCCTTCCCAAACGAAACGAAGCTACTGTACATGAGTTTCTTTCTTTTGGGGTTGTAATACTTTTTTTCATGGCTCTATTTTTTAAATGATTAAATTTGAAGGAATATAATTTTTTGTTTGAACGAATGTTACAAATCTCAAATTTTCTATTGAATAAATAATTAAATATTTCACATAAGTATGGGATTCATAAATTTGCGGATCTTATATTCATGTGAGACATTTGATCATTTATTTGGTAAAAAATTTAATATCTTTAGCATTACTCCATTTGTTTATTAAAATTGATTGAGAGCTTGTTTGGGAAGAAAAGGCCTGGGTTTTTTTTTTACTAAAATAGTCACAAAAAAAAAAAAGATTAAAAAATTAATAAGACAAAGTGATATTTTGAGAAGATGGTAAAAAGCAATTTTTTTGTTTTTAACCAAGCTTTTTGGGAGTGATTTGAAAAACTGGTAAAAAGTTACTGTTTTTTTTTAATTAATATTTATTTATGGTGTCACATCACACTAAAATGACTAAAAGAACCTTACCAAACTTAAGAAAATTACATTTTACCCAAACCCACAAGATATAAACATTGAGGATACTTATGTAATTTTCCAACCTACTTTTGCCACTTCCCAAATGAGCAAAAAAACGCAACTCTGCGTTTTGCTCTGGCCACAAAACGTGACGTTTTGCTCTAATCCCAAAAGAGCTCAAAGTGTCACATTTAAATTATAATTATTTTATTTTTTCTTTCAAAAAAATTTAAAAAGTTAAAAAATTAATCTCAAACGAGACTTTTTAGTCACAGGTTAATATCCAAAAAATCAAAAAGTCAATCCACATCCCAAACGAATCGTGATAATTTGTATTTATAAAAATAAGAAATAACCACTCTGTTTGGTTTTTTTCAAAATTCATTTTTCAGAAAAATTTTACTTTTTTATTTTTCGTATTTTTTATTTTCACTGAGATTTTTTAATATTTTAAGCAAGTTTTTTTAATTTTTAGACAAGTCTAACATAAATATACTTAAAAAGTATAATATTTGTGAAAAAAAACTTTAAAAAAATCACTAAATACCAAAAATATATTTTTAAAAAATAAAAATTCAGTACATTTTTTTATTATATTTTTGTGTATTTATTAATTTTTTAAGATATTTTTTCATAAATATTTTATTATTTAGATACATCTAAATAAGGTGTATCTAAAAAAGTAAATTTTTTTTTAAAAAATTTTAAAAATATTTACTAAAAACAAAAAAATATAAAAAATAAAAAACTTAATTTTTAAAAAATTGAATTCAAAAATTAAAATGAAACACATTAAATTGTATTTGAAATAATCCAAACTTTATGTACAAAAATTACTTGCCAAACGAGGCATAAGATGAAAAAAGATCCCATAAAAATTTTGTCCCGTTGTCATATGACTTAAGCCCTGTTTGGTAGAGCTGTGGGAAAGTGCTTATAGCTTATGCCTAAACAGCTTATAGCTTATAACTTTCAGCTTAAGCTGATTTCTAGCTTATTCTTAAAGCATCTCCTGCCCCACTCAAAGAATAAGCTGTTTTCTGACTTCCACAAAGCTATAAGCTATAAGCTATAAGCTAAACCAAACACATCAAAATAGCTTAAATTAAGCTGAAAGCTGAAAGCTGAAATAAGCTGAAATTAAGCTGTACCAAACAGGGCCTTAAATGACTTTGATTAATTAGACCAACTCAGAAAGCAACATGCCCAGAAGGCCACCACCAGATATTAATGTTGTTTTGTGCAAATTATCTGAGCTGTTTATAATTTATAATTTTTATTTTTTATGGTGGTTATTTTATTTTTTATTTTGCGTAACTTCGGCGTATAATTTATTAGGTGAAAATAATTTTTAAAAAAATTAAAAATTTATTATTTTATGATTGATAAATGAGTACTTTTAACTTTCCAATTTTTTACTTTAAAAAAAATTACACAAAACATCGAAAAGATGTCATCATACTAAGGGGGTATTTAATAACTTAATTAATTTAACACTTAAAACTAAATATATTAAGTGAAAATTAATTAAACCTATTTGATAATCAGAGTTAGCATCACTTAAAATTGTAAGGAACTTTTAAATTGTATGCTAAATGTTGGAAAAAAATTAAATAATAAGAAACTTACTTAATACTCACTAGATTTATAAATATTTAGGTACAAGCGTCGACATATACCATTATAACATCACCACAATGACTACCATTACCACCATCACCATTATTATCATCACACCACCATTATAGCTACTACCATCACTAGTAACATTTCTCCACCACCACCACTACCAATACCACAATCTCCATCACCATTAGGAGTGTAAAAATAGCCCGCGGCCCATGGGCGGCCCGGGGTGGACCCGACCCCAAGCCCAGCCTGATATCCTATGCTTGGGCCTAGGCCATCATTTTGAAATCCGGCCCCGCTTGTGGGCCTCGACCTGCCTGGATCGGCCCGCGGTCCACTCAAAGCCCAGCCCGCTCGAGGCCTAATATCATTTTTTGTAAAAAATAAAAAATAAAATTTTGGATAAAAAAATATTTAAAAATTATTCAAGCTCGAGCTTAGGCCCAGGGCCACCGATCCGCTTAAGGCCCAAATATTACTGGGCCTGGGCCTAATTTCATGACCCATGGGACACACCTTTGATCACGATTATCAAGCAACATGATCATTTCACTACCAACATTACAATCGCTAGCTCTCCACCACCATTATAACTTTTCATCTCCATAACCATTGCTACAACCACTGCCATCATTTCCATCATGACACCATCGCCATTGGAAGGCTAAATTTATTGATGGTCTTCCTACCTTTTTTGCCGAACGCGTTAGGAAAAAACTTCGGGACCGCCATGACCGGATGTCTATTCCTTATGAACAGTATACATATGGACAACTTTGTTCCATTGTTACCGACGAAGGTCTATCCTTGTGTAATGACCTTAAACTTCATTATCAGATGAAGCAACAAAATTTAACAGGTAGAAAAGAATTAGGAGAATTCTGTGAGCAGTTTGCTTATGAACCAGGTATTAAATATCCAGCTAAACCTAGAAAGATTTCCCATAAAAAACAGTCTAAACCCATCCGGAGAAAATCACATAAAACATACCAGCAAAAACCCAGTAAGAAGTTTTATTCCAAAAAAGCCTCATATACTAGAAAAGGAAAAGGAAAACCCAAATCAGAAATTAAATGTTATAAGTGTGGCCAAATTGGTCATTATGCTAACCGATGCAAATCTAAAGTTAAGTCCAAGATCAATGAATTGGATCTTGATCCCGATATTAGAAGCCAACTTCTTTAAACCATAGACAAAGAATCAACAGAATACGAGTCTCCCTCCGAAGATGAAATAAATGAACTATTTTCACCCTCCAGTAGTGACGATGACCAAGTAGAGACTTCTTGTCCTTATTCAACTAACCAGGATCAACTATCAGAAATCAATTATTGGAAATCAATAGTTGAAATGAATGGTTTACACCTAGGAGAACCCAGCAGTATTAATGTTTTAACAGATACCCAGAAGGATATGCTAGCTGTAGCAGACCAAATTCAGGATCTAGAAATAAAAATGAAATATTTAAAGATGTGTTATGAACATCAACAGACAACCCAAGAACAACCTTTAATACCAGAACATTCTTACAATCTACAAGATGTGTTCAAAAGAATCCAGAATTTAAATTCTACATCTGTAGAACAA